AATAAAGCTGATTTAATAGGCTTAAAAGTAGTAAAATTTAAATAAATATAGTTTTTAAGAGAATCAGAATTATTATAAGGATTATTGAAAATGTTATGTAAACTGAGGCGAAATGAAATTTGTTGATTTAAAAAAAAAAAAAAAATAGCACGCAAGCAATACATTATAAACATAATAAAAAAAAATATTATTAAGCCAGAAGGAGGTATTCAGAAATGAACTAGGACTGAATTAGAACAGAACTATAACATAACTAAAACAGAACTAGAACAGAACTAGAACGAACTAGAACAGAACTAGAACGAACTAGAACAGAACTAAAACAGAACTAGAACAGAACTAGAACAGAACTGGAACAGAAGTAGAACAGAACTAGAACAGAACTAGAACTGAACAGAACTAATAGAACTAGAATAGAACTAGAACAGAACTAGAACAGAACTAGAACAGAACTAGAACAGAACTAGAACAGAACTAGAACAGAACTAGAACAGAACTAGAACAGAACTAGAACAGAAAGAAGAACTAGAACAGAACTAGAACAGAATAGAACAGAACTAGAACAGAACTAGAACAGAACTAGAACAGAACTAGAACAGAACTAGAACAGAACTAGAACAGAACTAGAACAGAACTAGAACAGAACTAGAACAGAACTAGAACAGAACTAGAACAGAACTAGAACAGAACTAGAACAGAACTAGAACAGAACAGAACAGAACTAGAACAGAACTAGAACAAACTAGAACAGAACTAGAACAGAACTAGAACAGAACTAGAACAGAACTAGAACAGAACTAGAACAGAACTAGAACAAAGTAGAACAGAACTAGAACAGACAGAACAGAACTAGAACAGAACTAGAACAGAACTAGAACAGAACTAGAACAGAACTAGAACAGAACTAGAACAGAACTAGAACAGAACTAGAACAGAACTAGAACAACTAGAACAGAACTAGAACAGAACTAGAACAGAACTAGAACAGAACTAGAACAGAACTAGAACTAGAACTAGAACTAGAACAGAACTAGAACAGAATAGAACAGAACAGAACTAGAACAGAACTAGAACAGAACTAGAACAGAACTAGAACAGAACTAGAACAGAACTAGAACAGAACTAGAACAACAGAACAGAACTAGAACAGAACAGAACAGAACTAGAACGAACTAGAACAGAACTAGAAGAACTAGAACAAACTAGAACAGAACTAGAACAGAACTAGAACAGAACTAGAACAGAACTAGAACAGAACTAGAACAGAACTAGAACAGAACTAGAACAGAACTAGAACAGAACTAGAACAGAACTAGAACAGAACTAAACAGAACTAAAACAGAACTAGAATAGAACTAGAACAGAACTAGAACAGAACTAGAACAGAACTAGAACAGAACTAGAACAGAACTAGAACAGAAGAAAAACAGAACTAGAACAGAACTAGAACAGAACTAGAACAAACTAGAACAGAACTAGAACAGAACTAGAACAAACTAGAACAGAACTAGAACAGAACTAGAACAGAACTAGAACAGAACTAGAACAGAACTAGAACAGAACTAGAACAGAACTAGAACAGAACTAGAACAGAACTAGAACAGAACTAGAACAGAACTAGAACAGAACTAGAACAGAACTAGAACAGAACTAGAACAGAACTAGAACAGAACTAGAACAGAACTAGAACAGAACTAGAACAGAACTAGAACAGAACTAGAACAGAACTAGAACAGAACTAGAACAGAACTAGAACGAACTAGAACAGAACTAGAACAGAACTAGAAGAACTAGACTGAACTAGACAGAACTAGAACAGAACTAGAACAGAACTAGAACAGAACTAGAACAGAACTAGAACAGAACTAGAACAGAACTAGAACAGAACTAGAACAGAACTAGAACAGAACTAGAACAGAACTAGAACAGAACTAGAACAGAACTAGAACAGAACTAGAACAGAACTAGAACAGAACTAGAACAGAACTAGAACAGAACTAGAACAGAACTAGAACAGAACTAGAACAGAACTAGAACAGAACTAGAACAGAACTACAGTACTAGAATAGAAACTAGAACTGAAAAATTTAGCAACAATTTATAATTATTTATAACATTTTGCCTTTTAAAAATTTACAACACATTGTCTCATTAATTTTTACATTCCTTAATAAATTTCAATTATTTAAGTACCCTGCTTTTAATTTAAAATTTCCCTTCATTTAAAACACACTTAATTTAATTTATTATTGTATAATTTCAACAAATAATAACAAATTAAGCTACTAAACATAATAACATAAATAACACACTTAAATTACACTTTAAATTTTGCATAGCACAGCCTTAGGTGTTTTTTAATAAAAATTTTATAGCATATTTCTAAGGCAAGAAGACAACCAAACTAATAACACTTTATGGTGTTTCCACGAAGGACCATCAAGTAATTTATGAACAATTATTAAAACCATTATGTTTTGCAAAAAAAGCAATTTAAAATATAAATAAAGAAAAACTTTAAAAAATGAAAAAAAATATACAAATATACAAATAATGTTCTAACATTCTAACGTTAGAAACAAAAGCTTGTAACATATTTTAAAAGTTAGAAACTGTTTTTATGTATTTTTGCTAGAATATGCAAAATAAAACAATTTACACCTCATACAAATAAATTTTCAACTGAATAAATATTTTTCTTATTTTCTTTTTAGACTACAACAAAAAAAATAACAAATGCTAAATGAAAAGAACTCTTAGAAAAGCAAATTAAGAAAACTAAAAGCTTTTCAAATGTGAAGTCTTCGCTGTAGGAAACGGAAATTGTTATATCAAACACGAAGACAACAAAAGGAGTAGTTTGACATTGTTGACCAGTGTGGGACTTAACAGGAAAAAAGTAAAATTAATTTGCTAACCGGTAACCAGCAGCAACAGTTATGTAAAAGAAACCCGTAAAAAAGGTAAGAAGAAGTAGTGTAATAAGAAATTTGTATAAATTATGTGATTTTTTGTAACTTTAACCTTTAAGAAAGTTTTCCTTTTACTCCCATTTTTCATTATTGTTGTTTTATTCTTGGGGAGGCCAAAGTATTTCTTGGAACAATAGATAAAATAAACAGGATTTTTTTACTTACATGTACAATGTTTATATAATAGCAACAAATAACTGTGTACGAAAAGTTTGCCATAAATTATGAAACGGTGCAAAGATTTCCCAGAAACGATTGTATTGCGATTAAACAACACATGTGTTTTTATGAAAGAGGAAAAAATAATGTGAAGAACACATAAAATTTTTATAACGTACTAACGAGTGCGTAAATTGCTTTGTTATCTAACTCCTGCACATAATAGGGGTACTAAGTGCGTCTCGAAATAAGAAAACGATTTTCAAAGAAAGTCCGAAGAAATAGATGGATGGATGGATGGATAGATAGATAGATAGATAGATAGATAGATAGATAGATAGATAGATAGATAGATAGATAGATAGATAGATAGATAGATAGATAGATAGATAGATAGATAGATAGATAGATAGATAGATAGTAGATAGATAGATAGATAGATAGATAGATAGATAGATAGATAGATAGATAGATAGATAGATAGATAGAATAGATAGATAGATAGATAGATAGATAGATAGATAGATAGATAGATAGATAGATAGATATAGATAGATAGATAGATAGATAGATAGATAGATAGATAGATAGATAGATAGATAGATAGATAGATAGATAGATAGATAGATAGATAGATAGATAGATAGATAGATAGATAGATAGATAGATAGATAGATAGATAGATAGATAGATAGATAGATAGATAGATAGATAGATAGATAGCTAGATAGATAGATAGATAGATAGATAGATAGATAGATAGATAGATAGATAGATAGATAGATAGATAGATAGATAGATAGATTAGATAGATAGATAGATAGATAGATAGATAGATAGATAGATAGATAGATAGATAGATAGATAGATAGATAGATAGATAGATAGATAGATAGATAGATAGATAGATAGATAGATAGATAGATAGATAGATAGATAGATAGATAGATAGATAGATAGATAGATAGATAGATAGATAGATAGATAGATAGATAGATAGATAGATAGATAGATAGATAGATAGATAGATAGATAGATAGATAGATAGATAGATAGATAGATAGATAGATAGATAGATAGATAGATAGATAGATAGATAGATAGATAGATAGATAGATAGATAGATAGATAGATAGATAGATAGATAGATAGATAGATAGATAGATAGATAGAATAGATGATAGATAGATAGATAGATAGATAGATAGATAGATAGATAGATAGATAGATAGATAGATAGATAGATAGATAGATAGATAGATAGATAGATAGATAGATAGATAGATAGATAGATAGATAGATAGATAGATAGATAGATAGATAGATAGATAGATAGATAGATAGATAGATAGATAGATAGATAGATAGATAGATAGATAGATAGATAGAAATTCCTACATATCTGATACCTTAAATTCTGTTTTGCCTCAATCTGTGAATACCCCTAACATCACACACATTAACCTTACATGTGATCCACCTACATATTGCGCATTTAACACACATTAAAGGTTACAATATCATCGTTAAAACAACATTATTATTAAAGTATCCAATTCTTAACAATTCTATTCCTTCTTAATAACAATGTCATCTAAAACAATTTTTTTAATATTTCACGAAAACACATAATAAAGTAAAATTTCTGCTCTTTTATATAAAAGCTGTCATTTGTTATAAAATTCTAACATTTTAAAGACTTTATTTAAACATTTAATTTAAAATAATATACATAAAAATTAAATAATTCTATTGCATGTGACTTAAATAATATTCTAAGCTTTTTTTTTAAACTAACTAATGACGACACACCTTTGTTGTAGTTTAACTCCTAGAGGGTGTAGGTCCGCTGTAGAAATAATTATCTATATGACAATGAAACAAGAATGACGTTTTTGTTGTGACTTGAAATAAATTTAGCATACAAACTATTTCATTTGTTTAAACAAATGTCATGTATAATATAGTTTCCGGGGGACTATAAAAATGTGAGTTTTTTTTTCGCTTAACGCTCAATTAAACAACATTTACGCTCTAGTAATGTAAAATTTCAAAGTTAAAAGTTAAATAATTTATAATTTTTATAACAGTTTCTATATACCTTTCTGTATCTAATATTATTAATGAATATTATCTACTTTCAAACTACTAAAAAATACTTATTTCCCCAAAATATTTTCTAACTTTTATTAAGTAGTTTTTTGTGCTTTGCTCTTTTTTGGAAAACGTGTACTTTATTTAAGTCACGTTTCAGCTGCTATTGCTTTTTATAGAAAAGTTTTTATAGTCCTGTAAGAGTTAAGTACTTGTAAGTGTTTGTTCTAAATTAAAATATAATTCGAAAGAAATTATGACTTCATGTTACAGCGTAGTGAAAAGAAATTTTTGTCTTCAACTGTTAAAAAGCTCAAAGGGTATTAGAATTATAAACTTTAAATATGTATTAACTAATAAAATTCGTATATTCCAATAATATTTAAAAAAAGATTCTATATCAGTCTAAGAAAAAATACTTTTTTACAAATTTTCAATTACAGAATCCTTTACATTTCCTATTTTTTATTACCCAGTTTATATTTTTTTAAAGCAAGTGTTGTTAAAAAAATACATAATTAAAACATCAACCACTGCAATTCTAAACACACTTTTAAAACGAGACTTTTTTGTTAAAAAAAGTACCAGCAACAAAAGGTTAAATGTCACCAAAAGGTAAAAAAAACAAATACAAATACATTAATGTAAAATGTTTACAAAGTAAATACACTCTTTCGTTCTTTCTGTCTCACTCTTCATCTATCAACCTTTTCCCACATATGACAGCAAAGGAACAAAAAACATACGACGACATTGAGAGTTAAACAACAACTACAAAAAATTGTAAAACTAATATTTACATTTTAAACATTATTTACAGTAAAGAGTTAATAGAAATTACAATGGTCATAAAATGTAATATAAAGCACAGTGGGACACTTCAGAAACAGAACTAGAACAGAACTATAATAGAACTAGATAAGAACTAGAACGGAACTAGAACAGAACTAGAATAGAAGTAGAACAGAACTATAACAGAAGTAGAACAAAACTAGAACAGAAATAGAACAGAAGTAGAACAGAGCTAGAACAGAACTAGAACAGAACTAGAACTGAACTAGAACTGAACTAGAACTGAACTAGAACTGAACTAGAACTGAACTAGAACTGAACTAGAACTGAACTAGAACTGAACTAGAACTGAACTAGAACTGAACTAGAACTGAACTAGAACTGAACTAGAACTGAACTAGAACTGAACTAGAACTGAACTAGAACTGAAATAGAACTGAACTAGAACTGAACTAGAACTGAACTAGAACAGAACTAGAACAGAACTAGAACATAACTAGAACAGAACTAGAACAGAACTAGAACAGAACTAGAACAGAACTAGAACAGAACTAGAACAGAACTAGAACAGAACTAGAACAGAACTAGAACAGAACTAGAACAGAACCAGAACAGAACTAGACAGGACTAGAACAGAACTAGAACAGACCTAGAACAGAACTAGAACTGAACTAGAACATAACTAGAACAGAACAAACAGAACTGACAGAACTAGAATAGAACTAGAACAGAACTAGAACAGAACTAGAACAGAACTAGAACAGAACTAGAACAGAAATAGAACAGAAATAGAACAGAAATAGAACAGAATAGAACAGAAATAGAACAGAACTAGAACAGAACCAGAACAGAAGTGGAACAGAACTAGGACAGAACTAGAACATAACTAGAACAGAACGAACGTAGAACTGAACTAGAACTGAACTAGAACTGAACTAGAACTGAACTAGAACTGAACTAGAACTGAACTAGAACTGAACTAGAACTGAACTAGAACTGAACTAGAACTGAACTAGAACTGAACTAGAACGAACTAGAACTGAACTAGAACTGAACTAGAACTGAACTAGAAATGAACTAGAACTGAACTAGAACTGAACTAGAACTGAACTAGAACTGAACTAGAACTGAACTAGAACTGAACTAGAACTGAACTAGAACTGAACTAGAACTGAACTAGAACTGAACTAGACTGAACTAGAACTGAACTAGAACTGAACTAGAACTGAACTAGAACTGAACTAGAACTGAACTAGAACTGAACTAGGAACTGAACTAGCACTGAACTAGAACTGAACTAGACACTGACACTTAGAACTGAATTAGAACTACTCGAACTGAAATAGAACTGATCTAGAACTGAACTAGAACTAAACGGGAAATGAAATAGAACTGAACTAGATCTAAGCTAGAACGCGATCGATCACATAAAACACTCTTTTTAATGAATGTCTTTCCTTAAAAAGAGAGTATTCTTATTTTTCTACATTGTCGAGATTCGTAACCTGCTCCACAGTAACCTGTCACAATCCACCGTATTCACGTAATACAATCCTTGTAAATCTTCAACTCATAAAAAAGTGTTTAAATGAAAAATAATCAAAAACGTAACACTACCTTATATTTGTATTTAAAAACCAACGATACAATTACAATTTCAATACAAAACGTATAGTATTTCCTAGAACATACACATAATATTGAAACAATGGGATGATAGAGGCATATTTTCCTTAACAGTTGCTAAGTTGTACAACCGGTCGGTCTCCTATTGTGTAAGTGACAGGTAACATTCAGTTTTAATGAATTTCATTTAAACATTTACTTAAAAAAACTAAAAATGGAGAAATAGCTAAAAACAATGAAAGGAAAAGATTTAATTTACGCTGAAGGTGCTGACAGATAAAAACCGTGTTTGAGCGAAGAAATAAAATTTTTCCGACACT